AGGGGCGCAGAGACGGGGTGCTGGCTGGGGCAGGGGGCTGAAGGGCATGGGGAGGCCCTGGCGGGGGGAGGGGGTGAGCAAAGCTTTGGGGGATTTTTTGGTTTTTATTTTTTGATTTTTTTTGTATCCTCAGTGCTGGTGCCTCAGACAGCCGCCCCCTGGACCTGCCCCTCCATTGCTGAGCTCAGGGAAGTGACACGTCCCCTGTCCCCCAGCCCAGAGGCAGCCATGGCAGCAGAGAGCCCCGTGGAAAGTCTCTGGAAGGAAGTGATGCGTCCCGTCTGTCTGGAGGATTTCAAAGCCCCTGTCATTCTGGAGCATGGGAACAATTTTTGCCAGGCCCCCCTCAGCCCTCAAGGCAGAGACACTGAGCAGCAGGGACCCCTCTGGCCCAATCGGCAGCTGGCAAACATGGTGGAACTAGCCAAGCCGCTGAGTTTTGAGGCAGCAAAGAGAACAAGATGGGACAGGGTGTGTGGGGAGCACCAGGAGGCTCTGAAGCTGTTCTGTGGAGAGGCTCAAACTCCCATCTGCATTGTGTATGACAGATCCCAAACTCACATGTTGATGCCCTTACAGGAAGCTGCCCAGGAGTACAAGGTACAGAGTTGCTGTCCAGTGTGATGGGAAATAACATTGGGTTTTCATTACAGGCTAATTTCACTGACTGTTACCGGGCACAGATGTAAAACAACTCTGTAAAGCAGTGGTCTCCAGCCTTTTAAAGTATGAGATCACTTTTTGGATCTAAGTGCCATCTAGGATCTACCTCAAACCCAAATACTCCTGCCGACCTCCTTTGTGACCCTTCTCCAAGACCCCGCCTCTGCTCACTGCATCCCTTCTCCCTCCCCAATCCTTCCTTCCTTCCTTCCTTTCTTTTCATCAGGGAGGGGCAGAGGGTTGGAGTGGAGGAGGGGGTTCAGGCTCTGTAAGGGAGTTGGGGCTCGGGGTTAGAAAAGGGGTTTGGGGTGCAGGAGAGGTACATGACTAGGAGAGGGATTCAGGATACAGGCTCCAGCTGAACACTGCTTACCACAGGTGGCTCCTCTGTGGTGGTGCACTGGGGCTAAGGAAGGCTCACCCCAGCCCCACTCTCAAAAGCAGCCTACAGACTCCCTCTGTTTGTGGAGCTAGAATGCAGGGTGGGAGAAGGAAACAGCTTCAAGGCAAAGGGCAGGAGATGTGCAGCAGGCGGGAAAGGGGGCAGCTGAAGTGCTGCACTTGATAGCCTCTTAGCCAAACCAGTCAAGATCACCTGTCAGAGGCTCCAAGATCTACTGGTAGATCCTGATCTACTGGTTGGTGACCACTGCTGCAAAGCCTTCATGGTACAAGAGATGCTGTAAAAAGTAAATGTTCTGGCTTTGTGGCAACTTACATCATAAGAACGGCTGTACTGGGTCAGACCAAAGGTCCATCTAGCCCAGTAGCCTGTCTGCCGACAGTGGCCAGCATCAGGTGCTCCCGAGAGGGT